TGAGACAGAAGGCCGCCTGCCCAACAGCGGCCGCTGTTGGTTTGGGACAGCTGTTGGGCATTGTACCCATGGGTTGTTTCCGTACCCATTTCGAGCGTCCAAAAGCCATGGGCGACAGCTCGGATGACGAGGACGACGGCTGGGACGCCGGCCCTGCTGCTGTGGCCAAGGCGCAGATGGGTTTGATTGATCACTCCCCCCCGTCACCCTCCTCCTCCTCCTCCTCCTCCTCCTCCTCCTGCTCGTAATTCTTCTCCTCCCCCCTCCGCCGTCTCCCACTCCCTCCCTCCTCCTCCGCCCTCCCCCCATTCGCGGGATCCTTGTGAAGGAGGGGGGAAGAGCATGTGATTGCATGCACAGACACATGCAATCACATGCCCGCATGGGCAGGCGCTGATCCCGCACTACTCTTCCGACTCCAGCTTCTTCATGTACCCTGGGAAGATGCGGGACAGCAGCCCGCAGACGGAGGTATTGGATCAGGCGGGCAAGGGGAGGGGGGAGTTCGCAGTTCGAGACATCCCCGTGCTTCTCTCTGCAACCTCTCGCGCTCCCTCTGTCTGATGTTTCCCCCTCCCTCAGCTGAAAAAAAAAACATCGGGTTGGGAGCACGTGGACATGATGAGAGACCTGATGTCGGTCCTCGGCACGCGGCGCTTCAACAAAACCTGCGCCAGGAAGGCGCTGCGCCTCGTCGACTCTTTCGGAGCCAAGCTGCCAAAGCGGGCGCTGCGGGGAGGGGCACGCATGAGCAGACGAGGATGAGGAGGAGCAGGAGGAGCAGGAGGAGCAGGAGGAGGGACGGAGAGGAGGAGGAGGAGGAGGAGGAGGAGGAGGAGGCGGAGAAGAAGGCGGAGGAGGAGGAGAGGAGGAGGGGGAGGAGGAGATAGGAGGACACGGCTGGGACACGAACCTTGGACGGGAGCGCAGAAAGGGGCAGGCGATCAACACGTGGGTGGAGACGCACCAGAAGCGGTTGAGGACAGCGGTTTCCCACATCAGAGACGCAGGACGGGTTTCCTCCTCCTCCTCCTCCTCCTCCTCCTTCTCCTCGAGATCCTCATTGTCCTCATGCATGTCTCCCTTCTCCTCCACTCCCTCCCCCGACTCCGTTCCTATTCCTGATCGGCGTTCTCCCCTGTTCCCGTCTCTTCGTCGGTCTCGTCCTCCATTCATGTCTCGTCGGCGAGCTAGGGCGTCGCGACTTGAGGGGATCGGGGGGGGAGAGAGAGGGAGAGAGAGATAAAGAGAGAAAGAGAGAGAGAACGAGAATCAAGAGAGAGAGAGAGAGAGAAACCAGAGGGGGAGAGAGAGAGAGAGAGAAACAAACGCGAGAGAGAGAGAGAAAACCAGCTTCAGGACGCAGAGATCTACTTTGGTCGAAGCCATTCTTCACGAACGCCTCTGACGAGGACAAGGATTCAGCAATGAAACGGCCAGCTGCTGCAAAGAAGATGTGCGCCCGCAAGAAACAGAAAGTAGATGATGACGAGACTGCCGATGACAAGAAGTCGTCATCTTCAGGAGATGCCGACGGAGGCGGCGACGATGATGATGATGCTGAGGATCAAAAAGCAGATGACACAGAGGGTGAGGAGGATCGAGCTGATGAGGACACGTCAGAGGGCGAAGCACTGGTCGCAAAGAAACCAGCCATGAAAAAGCCAGCCGCCAAGCCAGTCGCGAAGAAACCGTCGGCCGCAGAGTCTTCGCCATCACAGTCGCCAGCACCGTCGCCAGCGCAGCCCTCAGCACAGTCAGCACCGCAGGCCGCGGGACTTGAATACAGCACGATCCCCGACGACTTCATGGATGCACTTGACGATGTAGACAGCCTGCCGTTTCGAGCACGCGTCAGCCCCGAGCAGCCTGCAGAGCCGACGGCACAGAGGTTGGCACCGACACCAACACCGAGCCCCTGCCCCGAAACGCCGCCGCCGATCGCACAACCAGAAGAGTTGGCCGATGACAAACCAGAAGACGGCACGCCAGCATCAGCAGACAGCAAACCAGCAGAGGCCGAACACGTTTCAAGTTCAGACGCAGCGATGCCGGCAGAGAAGGGCTCAGACGAGGAGTGTGCATATGAGAGTAACGTTTCCTGGGATACGGAGCGGCACGCGGCGTGCCTGAAGGTGAAAGAGAAGGGATCGAGGAGGTGGGGCCCGAAAGATTATTCGACTGTGTTTGAACCAGATGTCGACAGCGACCTCGTTCGTGCAGTATTCCAGATCGATGGGAGACCGACGCGATTCGTCGTGCCCACGCTGAAGCCGAAGGACCTGATTGAGATGGCGAAGGCGGGGCGGGGCGGAGCGTTCGTTTCATTCTGCGTCATTCGATAGATGTTACTGCGTTGCCCTTCGAGCCGCTACCCTCGGAAGAGCAGTGCGCGAGGGCTCACCCGTTTCTCCTTTCGCGGGGGAAGGCTGAAGGAGCGAGGAAGGAGGCGCCAGATAAGAGAAGGCATGGGGGGAAGGAGGAGGGGGACGGAGGTAGGAGGAGAAGAATAATGAGGAGAGAGAGGGGGCGAGGAGGATGATGAGGAGGGGGCAGGTGCAGACCGCGGACACCACCAAGAAGAGGTCCAGCAACCTGCAGTGGACTGGCGAGGCGAAGGGCGGCAAGACCGTACAGGTCAAACTGTTGAAGGACCCTGCCCTGCCCGCGCGCCACCAGATCCCGACAACGACGACAGACGGAGAGATGTCATCCTCCTCCTCCATCCTCCTCCTCGTCCCCTTCCCTCCCCCTCCTCACATCCTCGATCGTCTCCCTGCCCCCCTCCCTCCCCCTTCCCGTCTCAGCCTTCCCTCTCCGCAGCTGGCGGGGGTGCCGCATTTAATCGCGCAGCGCAGGACCGCAAGCAGCTCGTGGCCATCTTCGTTGACAAGAGGATGAAGTGCAACGTCTCGGAGGAGGACGATCGGGACAGGGAGACCTGCGTGAACATGATGACCAAGATCGCCAAGATGTATTGCAGCGGTGCGGCAGGGGCAGCATCACGCAGGATGATAGTGAATATGGCCGAGAGCCACGGGGTCAAGTCTGGACATTCTGTTTGGAAATCATTGGGGATCGTGTGTAAATCATTGGGGGGTCATTGGGGAATCATTGGGCACTCATTTGGGGGTCGTGGGCGAGAGCCAGAGGGGCCATGGGAAGGAGGAAGGAAGGGGGGAGGAGGGAACGGTGGAGGGAAAGGAGCGGGCAGAGGAGGGGGAGGAGGAGGAGAAGGAAGATGATAAGGAGGAAGGCGAGACGCGAAACTGAGAGTCGAGAGCGAAATCGGTGATGGGTAGGGGAGGCAAGATCAAGCTGGCCGAGATGTACTCGCAGAGGGACAAGCTCGTGGCTGCCCTCGGGTGAGGGTTGTGCGCGGCTGTGGCGCAACAGCACCCTGCAGTGGCAGGCAGAACAAGTTGGTGCTGTTGTTATTCATTGTATGTCGTTGCTCCGTCTGCCCCTCACCATTCTAGCTCCTCCTGCGCCTGCCCCTCCTCCTCCTCCTGTCTTTCCGCATCTCCCCTCCTCCTCCTCCTCCCCCTTCCTCCTCCCCCTCCTCCTCCTCCTCATGCTCCGTCCCCCTTCTTCTGCCTGAGAGGGGCGCGGAGGTAATCGCATTTCGCGCGCAGCGAGCCCTTCCTGCGAGGTCGGCGAATGGATATGCCGCGAGACCCCGCGTTCTTTATCCATGCTATCCTCTCTCCCTCCCGTTCCTAAAACTGTCAGGTATCGGATGGCAGCCGTGGTTCAAGGTGGGAACGCAAACGTTCGCTAGTCAGTCTAGCTCCTCCTTACCTGATCGAATGGGGCGCGGAGGTAATCGCTCATCGCGCGCAGCGAGCCCTTCATGCGAGGTCGGCGAATGGGTATGCCTCGGGACCCAGAGTTCTGTATCGAAGATGTCCGCGTGCTGCTCCCTCCCCCCCCTGCGGTTTCGATAACTGCCAGGTTTCGAATGGCAGTTCTGGTTCAAGGTGAGAACGCGCGTTCACCAGTTTGTCCAGCTACGAACTTGTACACGCCATGCGTGACGGCGATGAGTTCGTTCCGTACCAGGGTGCATTCGGCAAGATCGGCGATGTGGAAGCATCTGGATTTCTGCGGCCCCGTTCGAAAGCTCATGCGAAACCACCGATTACGTTCCAAGAGGGCGATTATGTCGATGACAACACTCCGCTCAGTGAGATCCTGCGCTTGACGGGCAGGGGCAGTGGGGCAGCTGGCTCATCGGCAGCGGGTTCGGCATCGGGATCTCGGTCGGTTGATTTGACCGCGGACGGTGAGACGCAGGCTGCCCCTGAGTCGTTCTCGGATCGTTCGGGCGCGTCTTGAAAGTGCGCATCTCCCCCCCCTCTTCCTCGCCCACTCCCTGAGCCAGCAAAGCACGTGGCCAACAGACACGTTCCATGGGGGTTCTGGGGCTCCGTGTTCGGCTCCGACCGTGGCTCAGAGAACGATCCAGATGCCGACGCTCAGGCTCGTCGTCGTTCGATCTGGCTCGTTCGTTGCCCTCCTCCAACCCCCTTCGGGCAGGAAGTGAGGTGGGAGTGCTACTCGTGCCATCGCAAGTACCTCTACGAGATCGACGTCTGCATCCATTGCGGCATCGACAGGGAGGGGGTGCTTGTAGATCTGCATGTATCCTCTACAGAGGACTGGCCGCCTCCTACTCTGCTCCTATGCTCGTCGCCTGCCTCATCCCGTTGCCTTCTGCTCCAACGCTACCCTGCGCTTCCGTCGCCCCCCCCCCGACCTCCGCCCCCGCCCTCTCCTCCTCTGCCTCCCCCCCGACCTCCGCCTCCGCCTCATCAGCTCCCCCCCCCGTCAGAGCCCCGCCCCCCCTCCCCCCCTCCCCCCCCCCGACCTCCCCCATGTCTCCCCCGTGTGTTCGTTGCGCAGTCTGAGTGCAGGACGCCGCTGGGACGATGCACACAGCGGCTGAGACGGCGGCAGGCGCCGCGGCTGCGACGGTGGCAGTGAACACAGAGCGCGAGGAGATGATACACGTGGAGCAGGAGACCCCACAGCCAGAGGAGATCGAGCAGCATGAGACCCCGAAGCCAGAGGAGCCGCCCAAGGATGAGTCGCCCAAGGAGCCTGCGTGGGAGAGCTGGATGCAGGGAGGTCACGGCCAGGGGAGCTATCACGTGCGAGGTCAGGGGGCAGCCGAAGAAGAACGACTCCAGGCTCCAGACTCCAGGGACCACACGCCCCAGGTCACGAAGAAGAAAGGTTCGATCCCAGACGTGCCAGAAACAGACGACGAGCTCATGGGTGATGCTGGCGCGGCGCATGCACCGTGCTCGGACGCGAAGGGCGACGACAACAAGAAGGGCGACTCGTCATACTGGGCTGATGTATCTGAAATGGTGCGACCTCCAGCAACTGGCCCTTTGAAGGGGCCCACGGTTTGCCCCTCGTCTTCGCGAGACTACACCGTGGACAGCGCCGAGGGCATCATGGAAAAGGCTGGGGTGGGAACATCATGCAAGGCCATGGCAAGCGTGCAAGTTCCGCAGTGGGGGCCAACCTCGGACATGAAGGCCATCGAGAAGCAGATCGACGAGATGGCCAAGCAGGCGAAACAGCAGCAAGTCTTGATGCGCGAGATGGCAGAGAAGTCGCTCCCAGCGGACGTCGCCAAGGAGATGCGGGAGCTGAAGGTCGCACTGGAGAACAACAATATTGTGTCCCGCAGTGACATCTACCAGAAGTACCAGCGCCACCTGCAGTCACTGCCTGAAGAGGAAAAGAAAAAACACAAGGGCACCACCATCCAGAAGCGCCAGTTCAGGCTGGAGTGGGCGAAACTTAGGCTTACGGAGATGGAGAAGAAGTACTTCCACTACAAGAGCTACGAGACCGTCAACACGAGAACGGGAACTTACATGAGCTTCTCGCGCGTCGTACAGGAAGAGGGCGGGCACCATGACGAGGCGAACGTGATTGCCGCGCGCAACTACTGTTCATCATGCGCTCTCCTCGGAGACGACTGGGTCTACTGGGACCCCATGTCGCAGCGTCAGAAGTTCCTGTACATCGAGATTTCGCAGCGCCAGGAGATGCGCGAGAAGTGGGAGATCTTTACGCAGTTCAATTCAGCTGGCGCAAGCGGGCAGCCAATTATCGGGAACGGGCAGACGCCCACTATCGGAGACGGACAGACTCCAGGAAACGGGCTGCCCGCTATCGGCATCGAGACGCCCGCTGAGGAAGGCGCCCCACCCTCGAAGAGGCGCAAGACTGCAGGTGCTCTCACCGAGGTGAAGCAGGAGCCGCCCGAGGAGCCGCGCGAGGAGCCCAAGCAGTCCGAAAAGAAGGTGCTGACCGAGGAGGAGAAGCAGTTCAAGAGAGATCTCCTCAAGGCCGAGAACTCTGCAAGGGCCCTAGTATCTAAGTACACGCTCGCCATGGGGGGCGCGGACACAGTGAAGAACGCGGTGAAGAGCAAGCAAGAGTGGAAGTGGCTAGCCGACAACGATGCCGAGCAGAAGCGCTACCAGGAAAGGATCGACGAAGTGATGAACAGCAAGCCGCCATTCTTCGAGCGCTTGCTTACCGAGGACACGAAGGAGGTGAAAAAAGGCATCTCGAGCGAGAACCTCCTCAACGAGTACAGGAACATCGCGAAACGGAGGGGAGGGGCATGCATTTTTGTTTGCCTGCATTTGCAACCAATCTGGGCCTCCACCTCCTCCGCCCCCACTCCAACTCCACCTCCAGGACCCCTGCAACTCCGACTCATCCGATCCCTTCAACTCCAGCTCCAGGATCCCTCCAACTCCACCTCCAGGATCCAACTCCTCCTCCTCCACCTCCACTCCAACTCCACCTCCGTGACCTCCTCCGCCTCCACTCCAACTCCACCTCCCCAAATTCCTCCGCTCCTCCTCCTCCCCCGCCTCCGCTCCAACTCCGCTGCTCTGCAACGCTCCCCTACCGCGTGCCAGGAGAAGGAGGACGAGACGAGCAGGAGGCGAGGACGAGCAGGAAGGCGAGGAGGAGCGAAGCGGTGAGGGTATGAGGCATGATCATCAGGAGAACGAGGAGGATGAGCTAGGGGGTGAGGGGAGAAGGATGAGGAGGTGGAAAAAGGGAGACGAGAGAAAAAGTTAACGGGTCTGCGGGAATCGGGAGGATGACCGAGCCGATCACCAAGCTCCAGCAGTTCCACAAGAAAATCATGGAGAACCACGCGACTGAGAAGAAGTTCGTCGGCTAGGCAGCCTTCGACCCTAGGTGGTGGCATTCGCTGACTAGAATTTACTTTTCTGGCCCTCATGTGCCTGTGTTTGGGTTCCGGTGTTCCGGTGTTCCGGTGTTCCGGTGTTCCGTCGTCCTGGGGCCGGGGAAATCCCGAATTCGAGGGGGAAATCGAGCGATGATTTTGTGATGAATTTTGGTGATGAATTTTGCAATGAATTTTGAGATTTATCAATGTATACCACAAAAAAACCCCAAAAATCATCGCGATGAATTCGCGATGAATTTGCGATGATTTTCCGATGATTCTTCGTGATGATTTTTGCAGAGCCCATCGCGACAGATTTTGTCGCGCACCGACAGCAAAATCGCAATCCTAGACTCGCGATGCCACTACTTCGAATGTGCGCTTGATTTCAAGCCGCAGGACTGGAATTGGAGCAAGAGGAAGCGAGAGGACGAGGGGGAGGAGGCCTCGAGGGGATGAGGAGGAAGAGGTGGAGGAGGTGAGGAGGAAGAGGAGGACGAGAGGCCCGAATCCAGTCCACGAGCGGCGCACCTGGCGGCGACGACTCGCCTGCCAGACTCTTCGTTAATTATCGAGCCTGCGCAGTCAGATATATAGGTGCCACCGCCCTCGAGATCCCCCTGGAAGAGGGAGGGAGAGAATGAGACCTCCACGTCCTCCTTCTCATCTTCTCCTCCTGATCCTCCTTGGATGCGTACACTTGCCCACCTCTTCCATTCTCTAATTTTCTCATTCCCCCCCCCCCCCCCCCTCTGCTTGCAGCCTCCCTGATTCCCTGCACCCCCCCTTGCTGCACCAATCGACTGACGCTAGCGTTGCCAGTTTGAGGGAGTACGTGGTAGATCACGGTTCTCGGTTGGCGACACGTGCGATAGACGCGCGTGCACTGCGCAGCAGTGATAGGAAGCCGCTTTCATCTCATCGAGAGAACAGTGATGGGAAGCAGCGATGGGAAGCAGCGATGGGAAGTTGCGCATCAGTGATGGGAACGTACGCCCAGTCGTCCCCTAGGTCACGGAGGGCACCCTCCTCCTCCTCCTCCTTCCTCTCTCCTCCTTCCTCTCTCCTCCCTCCTCCTCCTCCTCCTCCTTCCCCCTCCTCCTCCTCCTCCTCCTCATCCCCCTCCTCCTCCCCCCATCCTCGCGCGAGAGCTGGGCAGCGCGAAGACAGTCGCACTTCGCGCGCGCCTTCCTGCGGGGCGCCCCCATGTGCGAGCAGGGGTGAAGATGGGGGCGAAGATAATCGCGCCTCGGCGGGCCAGGTGATCGAGCCTCGCGCGCAACGTCCTGAGATGAGTCGACGTCGGGGGAGAGGGAGCGGGGGCGCGAAGTAGATGACTAGAAGAATCCCGTGACCTAGATCGAGCTCCGTGGCTTAATTGTGCACGTGCCCGATATCAGCTGTCGCTACATATAGGCCCGAGCTAATTTTAAGCATGGCTCCAAAGGGGAGGCGTGGCCGAAAACGAAACCGATCCTCCTCCTCAGAAGTTCGCCCATGGGATGCTGACCTTCCCCAATACGCCACCACTGAGGCCGAGCAGACATCCGCGGGGAATGCATTTGTAGACGAGCTGATCGAAATGTACCTCCTTGGCCAAAAAATGACGGCAAAACATTTATGCGTGCTCTGTCACTGGGCTTCCGTTGCTGGCCTAACCGCAGCCGCAAAACATGCTGTGCACCCTGACAAAGGAACTGGCGATTTCCAACAGAAGCTTGACATATCTTTGGGGCTCACACAATTTGACACATCATTATATGACATCCAAACCGCTGGTGAGGTCGATGCCGAACGAACCTCCATGACTGTGCATTGCATCCCGCCCCACGAAGCACTTGCAGCAGAGATAGCAGCCAACCCGTCCATCATACAGGATTGGGAGTCTAAGATAAATGACGAGCCCTGGATTCGAGATTATGAAAAAAACGAGTTCGTGAAACGTGCGTCCCCTGAGGAACGCAAGCGGCTTCTTCCCATCGCCTTATATATGGATAAGACGCCATATACAAAAAAGGACGGGTTTCATGGTATATTTTGTCATTTTCTACCATCTGGACGTCGCCACATGATCGCGTGCATCCGCACGACGGACATGTGCAACTGTGGATGTTCACATTGGTGTACACTGTACCCTGTGTATCAAATGATTAGATGGTCTCTTCAATCGCTGATATCGGGCACGTACCCTGACCGACGGCACGATGATCTAGAATGGAAGTCTACCGATGTCGATCGATCTTCCCTGGCTGGGCAGGCTCAGCACGGGAGGGGGGGGCAGAGGCTTCAGCTGCAGACATGCATGCACGCAGTGAAAGCGATCGAGAAAGAGAGAACGAGAGAGAGAGAGAGAGAACGAGAACGAGAGACAGAGCGAGAGAGATACAAATACATATATTAGAGACATGAGAGAACGAGAAATTGAGAGAGATCGTCGAGCAATTGAGAGAGATGAAGCGACATGTCCACACAGAAATAGAAGGCGAGAGGGGGAGAGCGATACATATGATGATAGAGGAAGGCCCGCTCCCTTGCTTGCTTGCCAAGGGGCTCCTCGAGCGCGTCGCGCAACGCCCGAGGGTCACTGGATGAGTTGACAGACGTTTGAGAATCATTGGGAGTCATTGGGGGATCATTGGGGGATCATTGGGGGATCATTGGAAACTCACTTGGGGATCCGTGGGGTCCCATTGGAGAACATTTGCAGGGGCATCCGGTTAATATCGTGGACTCCTGGGGGCGTGATCGGGGGTGGATGCTGGTTACAATCAACGCGCATAGCAAGGATGGGCAACCCTCCCAAGGATGCCTTTACATCCTTGCCTCCTGGGCCCATCCTTGGCCACTCTCGTTGGCCGCGCCCCACTCGGAGAGCTTCGAAATGGGCGTCCAAGGCCCTTGCATCCTTATTGCGCATCCTTGTTATGCGGGTTGACTCCCCAGAGTTCTTCAGAGGGCTGGGGAGTGAAGGATCTGCAATTCCGAGCAGTGCTCATCGATTTCAAAGCTGACTGGCCAGAGCTGAGTACTGGAATGGGGTTCCCTTCTCACAAGTCCGCTCATGCGCCTTGCGTGTTTTGTTCGTGTTCTCAGGAATCAATTTTGACCCACGACCTGTCATCGCACGTTTGCTCGGTTCCAGAGGTTGACTACGATGCAGAGTGCAAGAGGCATGAACATTATGTTGTGATCGAAAATGAGGACGACCATAGAATGATTAAGCTTCGGCTGAAATTCCGACATGATAAAACAGGGCGTGCACTGACCTCCCCGTTGGAAAAATTTGGACTCCTGAAGTGGGATCGATTGGAACCCAGCCCAGTACTGACGGATGTTGCGAATTTCGAAGCTCTCGATACATTCCCGATCGTGGTTAAGTTCTGGCGGCAACTCCCAGACTCCAGGACCTACCATCGCAACCCTTTGCTAGACATTCGTATTCTCGGTACAGGGATCCACACGTTCTCGTTGGACGAGTTGCATTGCTTGCACCTAGGCGTATTCAAGAATTGGGCAGGTGCAGCCGTGTGGCGCCTGATAGATGCCAACGTTTGGGGTGTTGCGGCAACTCTGCAGGACGATCGGGTTCGTCTATCCCTCCAGCACATGACCCTGGAATTGAAAACCTGGTACACGACGCAACTCAACCGAGGTGTGAAAGAAAGGAAACTAACACGAATAGGGAAAATAACAGCTGGCATGATAGGTGACAGGAACAGTCCCACTATTTCAACCAAAGCACAGGAGACAAAATGGTTTGTGTTTTTCCTCGTGGACCTCTTGGAAAAGAACAAAAACACGCTGAGGGGCATACATACATTGCATGCTGCTGGTGCTGCGTTGGTCAACTATTCAAGAATGCTGGATCAGCACGGCCGCAAACTGCCAGACGATGTGTGCGACGAGCTCCAGAATTTGGGCGAGCTCCATGTCGGCTTGGCTCAGCAAGCGGGGGTGCATATGGAGCCAACACATCATTATTTCCGCCATATGGCGGCCCAGCTGAAGAGGAAAGATAACCCGAGATTTTACAATGTTTATTGGGACGAATCGATTAATGGGGTCATAGCTGGCGTGGCGGCAACTACGCACAGAGCCCGATTCGAACGGATGGTGTTCAGGAAGTTTGGCTATATGAGCGACAGAGGAGCACCCTCTTTTGTAGGGGTGGTGATAAGGGGGGATGAGGGGCGAGGATGAGGGAGGCAAGAAGGACAGGAGGATTGAGGAGGAGGAGGAGGAGGAGGAGGTGGAGGAGGAGGAGAACGCCACCGAACCCCGAAGCAATATCAGTGACAGAGGCGGCAGGCGGCAGCCACTGATAGGTTCTCGAGTCTGCGCTGTCGCCCCCGTGGGCAGTCGCAGCTGATGCGCGCTGGAGCTCGGTGCTAACGTTGCCCCCCTCCCCCCAATTTGGCTCCGCCCTCTGGCAACTTCCCCCCCCTCCCCCTCCTACGCATTCTCCTCCGTCCTCCTCCTCCTCCTCATCAGCATCATCCTCCTGTCCGCACCCCCCTCCTCCTCCGCCTTCTCCCCCCTCCCCCTCCTCGTCCGCATTCCCCTACCCCCCCCCCCCTAACAAAAAACGAAACACATAGCACGCAAACGCAAACATCCTTCATTTATCTTGCCGCTCGGGCGAACCCGCCGAAGGAGTCAGTTCGACATCGTCTAGTCTCCCCGCGTTGGAGGCATGGTGAGAGCTGCGAAGGGGGGAGACCTCTTCCAACAAGGCTGGCGCATCAAACACCAATTTCTCCACCCAATGAAACCCCGGGGGGCTCGAATGGGCGATGGGCATTGGCTTTCTCTTCTGGGCAACCGCCCCCCCTAATACATCTCGCGTTGGATGCCGCCCGATAGGCGGCCACCTCGGCATACCGCCCGAAACGCTCGACCTGGCCGAGCGCATTCGAGCAGATGCACCGATGTTGACTTACCATGCGATGCTGCTGAAAGTTTCCGAGGTGGTAGCCGCCCGCATGGATGCT